AGTAGTATGAGCTATTAAGCCTTGGTTTATCTTATTTTTCAACATATTGGGCCAAAACCAAATTTGGGCCAATCCCATCTTTTCACATTCTGGGTCTCAGACTGCTCTCCACTATACACTAGGGAGATCTGACTATGGTATCTCCAAAGTGCCTTGTACTTAAAAGCTTTCTAATTATAACTGACCTGCAGGTTTAGATGTGGCCTCACCAAGTTATTTTCATGGCCAGACCCTGCTCTTCAATACCTACAAAAGAAAGCACTCATCTTAGACGCTCATCTTATCAAGAGCACATTTCATTCAGTGGGATTAGAAATGATAAAGGAAAAGCTATAACTTATTATTATAGCTTAGACAAGAAATAATTTTTGTATTTCTTGTGTCTAGTGTACAAACTCTGTTTTAACGTGTAGTATGACTTACATCTCATTTTAAGCTTTGGAGTTCCATTATCTTAAACAGTGGCTGGGCACAGCAGCTCACGCCCATAACCTCAATACTTTGGGAGGCCAAGACAGGAGTTCAAGACCAGCCTGGCCACACAGTGAAACCCCATCTCTACTACAAATATTAATACAAAAAATAAGCTGGGCACGGTGCATATGCCTGTAATCCCAGCTACTTGGGAGGCTGAGGCAGGAGAATCGCTTGATCCCAGGAGGCAGATGTTGATGTTGCAGTGAGCTGGAGTACATGCCACTGCACTCCAGCCTGGGCGACAGAGCAAGACTTTGTCTCAAAAAAAAAAAAAAAAGAAAAAAGAAAGTCTGGGCGCGGTGGCTCACGCCTGTAATCCCAGCACTTGGGGAGGCCGAGGTGGGCAGACCACTTCAGGTAGGAGTTCGAGACCAGCCTGGCCAACATAATGAAACCCTGTCCCTACTAAAAATACAAAAAATCAGCTGGGCATTGTGGTGGGCACCTATAATTCCAGCTACTCAGGAGGCTGAGGCACGAGAGTCACTTGAACCTGGGAGGTGGAGATTGCAGTGAGCCGAAATTGTGCCACTGCACTCCAGCCTGGGCTACTAACCACTGTTCCCTGAGAACTTCAGGGACCATTTCAAAGAATTAATGTTCTTTTAACAGCCCTTTAAAAACTCAGTGTCTAAACATCCATTTTTGTCTCAGATGAGTATGTTACTGACTTAAACAGCAGAGGAAAACTAAGAAAGTGTTATTTCTGAGTCAGACTTCTATTAGAACCTTGATTCTTCATAAAAGATGAAGGCATCCTTGTTTTCCCTTCAGAACATGAGAGATCAATTTTATTTACAATAAAGACCAAAAGGAAATTATGTCAATGCCATTGTTTTGAAAGGGGGGGAGGGAGGGAAGTGGAGGGAGAAAGAAAAAGCCTCCATCCTTTCCCTCCCCACCCCACACAAAGGCTGATTAAGAATACAGGCTCAGTTACCTGTATTGGTCTGTTTCATTTTGTGAAATGTTATCAGAAACATGAATTTAGTTTCTAGTGATAGAAATATTTTTTAAATTAATATAATCTAACAAACCATTTCAGTATTAGCCATTGTGTTTTGTCCAGCTAAATGGCAAATACATAAAAAAGTTTTACCAATTGGTAAAGGCAGGAAAATCAGACAATCTTCCATTAGGAATGCGTGTGATCTTCTTGGTAGACCATTATCAAAAACTCTCGTCCCAGCAAAGCACTTTCACATGTAACTAGTTACTGCACGTGACGGAGCACGTTATTATTTTGAAGAATACTGTTAAAATGCTGGGGTGATAACTGCTGATATCTTAAGTAAGACTAAGCTGTCCTCTGCACACCGCGCCCATACAAGGCACCATGGCAGCTGTCCGCGGGAGCACTCTTCTATTACGTGGTTTGTCTGTACTCTGCCTCACATTTGTAATTAGCAGGACATTTCTAATGGGCTGGATTAGCATGATTAGCTAGTCGATTTCTGTTCATGAAGCTGTCTGGCCATGAGCTACTTTAAAATACTTCTTCGTTAAAGGTCAGAACACTGGCACCCCAAAAGAAACACAGGTAAAACAATTCCCTGAAAAAAGAAATAAGGTAGTCCCCCATACACAGTTTCTCTTTCTGCTGTTTGTGACCTGCTATCAACAGCAGTCCAAAAATAGTACACGGAAAATCCCAGAAATAAACAATTCTTAAGTTTTCAGTGGAGCACCATTCCGAGTCGTGATGAAATCTCACACCATCCTGCTCCATCCTAGCAGGAAGTTCATCAAGCCTCTGTCCAGCAAATTCACGCCGTACATACTACCTGCCCTTAGTCACTCAGTAGCTGTCTCAGTTATCAGGTCAACAGATCATGACAAAAAAGGTGAGTACGGTACAGTGAGAACTTTTGAGAGACATATACTCACATAACTTTCATTATAGTATAATGTTATAACAATTCTACTTGTTATTTGTTATTGCTGTTAATCTCTTACTGTGCTTAATATGTAAGCTAAACTTTATCATAGGTATGTACATGTGGGAAAACACATAGTATACATAAGGTTTGACACTATCTGAGGTTTCAGGCATCCACGGGCAGGGGTGGGAAGGGTCTTATCCCCGGTAGATAAGGGGCGGGGAATACTACATAATATAGCAAAACAAAGTAAAAAGAGGCCAGGCATGGTGGCTCATGCCTGTAATTCCAGCACTTTGGAAGGCCAAGCTGGGAGGATCACTTGAGCCCAGGAATTTGAGGCTAGGCTGGGTAACACAGGGAGACCCCATCTTAAAAAGAAAAATAAAAAAGTGTTTACCCTCATCAAACATTTTAAAAGCACAACATTTAAAAAGCACAAAAATTGAAATGAACTTCCATTTTCACCTATGAATTGACAACTTATCTGAATTAATATCCAATGTTAGCAAAAACAGTGAGATAGACAACTTTCAACAATACGATCCTGGCTTACTAAGATGTGAACTAAGCTGGTACGCACTTCCCAAAAAGTGATCTGAGAATATGAACAGAGTTAAAATATGAATACTTACTAGTAAAAAGTCAACTAAAACTCATTTTTTTTTTTTTTTTTAAAGACAGTCTTGCTCTGTCACTCAGGCTGGAGTGCAGTGGCACAACCTCGGCTCACTGCAACCTCCGCCTCCCAGGTTCAAGCGATTCTCCTGTCTCAGCCTCCTGAGTAGCTAGGATTACAGGTACACAACACCATGCCTGGCTAATTTTTATATTTCCAGTACAGACGGGGTTTCGCCATGTTAGTCAAGCTGGTCTTGAACTCCTGACCTCATGATCTGCTCACCTCAGCCTCCCAAAGTGCTGGGATTACAGGCATGAGCCACCACACCTGGCCAATTCATACTGTTAAGCAAGTAGTTCCACTTTTGATCTATTCTCAAGAAATATTCAGAGAGGCATATAAAGATGCATTTACAAAAACATGCATGGTGTTATTTCCCCATTAGCAAAAAACTGGAGAAAAAAACTACACGTCCAGCCAAAGAAAAATGATGAAATGATATGTATACGAGATAGTATCATTCTATCAAAAATGGTTCGGAAAAAGTTTCAATAATGAGGGGGAAGGATCAGCAAAAGAAGCTGGAGTTAAACTCTGTGAAGCAGGATCCTAGCGATATAAATTTTATAAATAATAAAATATGCATTTTCCCATACATGGAAAACTGATCAAAACATTTATTAGTTGTTATCTCCAACTAGAAAACAAAACGCATTATTGATGATTCAATACAATAAGAGAAGAGCAAATGGATACGGACATTGCCAACTGATAGATGAGAAAACCGTATCCCAACCAGCCCGTGTTTCAAGTTGTTATGGAGCTCAGCCTTCAGAGAGGCTTATCTTGACGTGTGACAATGACAGCATCAGTATGGCCCTAATTGGTCTAAGCCCACAATCAGAAATATGCCGCTGGTGAGGGGCAGCCAGGAACCGATCTACTCGCTGGTGTTCGTAAGAACACAGAGGGAAGAAAAGTGCAGGCAAAGTGAAAAGCTTGCTAGCAAGTACACATGCAGTTAAAGCAACAGTGAGCAAGGGGTCCCGCGACAGCGGAGAGGAGGATGGTGTGAAACCGTGGAGGAAGGAGACAAACGCACAGCCCAGGCGTGTGTGTGCAGGCCTCTCAGCACGACCCTCCTCCACCTCCCCTCAATGGCAGCAGGTTCACAAGAAGGGGAACCTGCCCACAGCCATCACTACTCTTTAAAGAAAATATCCCCTTCGCTTCCTTCTCAGCTATTGCAGAGGGCTCCTACCATTAATTTCCCACTGTAGTCAAGTATCAACACACAAGAAAAACTGACAATTCTACACGTCAGTGTTGGCTCAGACAGGCAACTCCCTGGCCCACATCCTTCGGTGGGAGTCGCTATTCTGGAACTCGGGTAGCTGCTCAGGGACCAGCCTGTGAGCTGGTAAAGAAGCAGAGATCACGAACCCCCTTCTCCAAACAACTGCTCTCTTCTGATTCTTAATAACTACTTTTCACCAAAGGATTAAGGGCACAATTTAGTTCTTCTTTAGAGACATGCCTACTGAAATACTTTCTCAAAGATTCTGACCAAATCAATTTTAATATAAAGACTTCAAAATTACTTATAATTTAAGTTATTCAATATTTAGAACATTAAAATAATCTTGACTAACTGATACCTAAGAATTTTTACTATAGCTTTAAATTGTTTTAAATAATATATTTCCATGTCCTGGTTTATGAACAAAACAAACATTAAAGAAACTCTCAAAAACAATTTAGTTAAAACATTGTGAATTTTAAATGAGTCAGTGATTTATTAAACTGCTTTCCTTAAAAATGGGCAGTTTTTTAAAAGTATACATATGAATACTAGAATAAAAAGTAAATGTGATTTTAAAAGAAAGTTCGTGATCTGAAAAAAATATATAGCTATCACCGTGAGTCTACCTTGACTTCCACAGAGTTGCTGGAAAGCACATCCAGCAGAGGCTGGGGGCTCCCAGGAGAGCGCGCGTATCCGTGGCCGCGCTGGGACTCACCTGGCATGTTCCTCAGGAGCTTCGCATTGCACATGTGTCCCTTTCGAATGTCGGTGAGGATGTATTCCATCCGCTTAGCCCTCCAGAGGAAGTTAAATACTCTCAGGTAGTGGCTCATACATTCTCGGGTAAACACCTGAGGCAACAGCAGAAGACGGGTTTATGGTGTTCCACACAGAAGAATCCTCTCAGTACAGGTCTCAATCGTTTTGTTAAAAAAGGCACCTTTAGCAAACTGTCTTATAATATAACCACCACACTGATTACTCACATGCTAGGTGGCATGCTAAGCAAACTCACGGTGACAGATGGCAGGCATTTTTATGCCTATGGTACAGACGGGTAAACAGAGGCCTAAGGTACACAGACTGCAGTTTATCAGGATTGTCAAACCCAGCCTAAACCTCGTCTAAAATGTGGACTCTTCACTACAACTCCCCAAGACGCCTGAGGGATACGTGAGGCAGGAGTGCACGTTCTTCTGTAACAATAGCTCCTGAGGGTGGTGACTCTCATGGAAGGCAGGCCTAGAAGAATCTCCGTTCTGAAAAGAATCCTTCAGGTTATTTTCACCCATTTCCAGATAGCTTATGAATACTTCATTTCAGTGCCCATGGACACGGTTTCACAAGCAGAGACGACGAGCCAACATGGCAGGGATCGTGCAAGGCCTCCCTGCCACGTCACCCTCCTCCTACGGCAGCCAGGTAAAAATACAGGATGCCCAGTTCCACGTGAACATGAGATAAAGCACAAGTATTTTCCAGTGTAAGCATGTCCCACTGCACATACGTAACTACAGCCAAACGTGTCTGACACCGACGCGTGTTTCACACAGATGTGGGCGTGTGTTCATCTTTTACTAGATGATGGGGGCAGAGAGTTCACCACACCGTCAGCAGAGTTTTCCTACACTCCGGGGGCTGGGAGACAGGCCGCCGAGGCGGGGCCTCTGTTCCTAGCAGCAAGGCACAGTCGTGCACCAGTGAGAACATGCTCTACTTCAAAGGGAGCCGCCTTCTCCCACCACCGCCCTCTGACCCAACCATGATCACTCAGGTGGTCCTCACGAGGGCCTTTACTCTGAAAGGTACTCTCCTGTGGTGCCCTTGTTCTGCCCTTTCCACCTGCCCAAATCCTGTCCATCCCTCAGGCACAAAGGCCACACAACTTTCCCTGGTCTCGTCAATTCCCTCTTCTTCAGAAACACAGAACACGCACTGCATTATCTTCTGTGATTTCGTATATTCCCACCATTTCTCACCAGTTGGTGGGAACTATTTATGCCTCCCTCCATGTGCCTGTTTGTGCCAGTAATGGTCTAAACAGGGATGAGAAGCTGCTTTGAAGATACTCCAAAATCTAATATGAATCTTTCGGAGGTTATCCCATTTTGCTGTGCTGCATTTTTTCCATTACAGAAATTAGGCGTGACCAGTTTAAATAATTTTATGAATAAATTAAATCACTAATCAAATGATGTGTTACAGGAGTCCTTTCAGTATGATGTTCCTGTAGCACATTTAAAATAGTTTCAGCTTTAAAAATTCAGTTACATCACAGCTCTTCAGGAATATTAACTATCTAAGAGGAAGGCAGTCAGATTCCACTCAGTCTCCAAAGATGAAAACTTTGTCCACACTGAGCCTGTGATGTATATGATCCTTCAGTTCACCTGTTACTGGAATAAAGCTCAGAGAAATATTCAACAAATCAGCCTCTAACGCCCTATCTAAAACTCATCTCCAGAGATGAAGAACAGAAATGATTAGATTTTTATCCTGACTCATGTCAAAATGAAAAAAGATAATCCCTCCTCACCTAATCTTAGGCTATCTCACCACACATTGGAACTTCATGACCTTAAAACAAAACATAAATCCATCTTTAGTTATATGGTCAACATTAAACAACCGTACCATATTAAAATTTTAGATAAAATTAAATTATTGATTTACCAGAAGAGCGTAAGGCTCATTTAAAACAGGATGAACAAAAAATATTTTAAATGTCTATGAACTATTTTTAGCTAGTGTATTTTTATGAGTAACCTGAGTTTTAAATTTCCCAGATTAATTTCCCATCAGACCTATATTAATTCACTGATATTTTATATCATAGAAATAGTACCACAGAATTAGTATGAAGGTAAAATTATGCTACAAGATATAATTATATAATTATTATATGTACCTATTATAATTAAATTCTGAAAAAAAAAAGGAAAAGACAATCTCAATAATAGAACGAAAGTAGAGGTAACACAATTGACAAGGAATAAACAGGAAACCGATTTTCTTCCAAATCTTGACTCTAAAAGAAAAATTTTAAATAGTACACTTTTTATCTTTCTAGTAGCTTTTGTACATAACTACATACAAATTAATCTAATAAAAATTACCTCAATTTCTACTATTAGTTTGAATACCTATAACTGTACATGTGGCCAAAGTATGACAATTCACCTGAAAATCTGCCAGCATTTGCCAGGACTGGATGGCAAATGCCAGACATGCAAACGACCACTCCCCACAATGTGGCCCTGGCAGGTCCTGCTCACCCACCATGGGACACACGCTCTTCCACCATCCTCAGCACCTTATGCTGCCACCGCCAGCCACTCGAGGGGGCATGCAAACTGACACCTGTGTGCCAAAGACAGGCATCTAGCATAGATTTGTTTACTTTGCATTTGTTTTTGTTTTGAGATAAGAGTTGCACTCTGTCTCCCAGGCTGGGGCGCTGTGGTGACAGCTCGGCTCACTGCAACCTCCACCTCCTGGGTTGAAGTGATTCTCATGCCTCAGCCTCCCAAGAAGCCAAGAGTACAGGCATGTGCCACCATGCCCAGCTAATTTTTATATTTTTAGGAAAGATGGGGTTCTGTCATGTGGGCCAGGCTGGTCTTGAACTCCTGGCTTCAAGTGATAGACTTGTTTTATTTTTAAATAAATCTATAATATAAACTTTTTTCCCTGAGCCCTTCTACTAAAGTAGAGCTTTAAAAACCTGAACGTTTAACAATATTGCCATGAGCAATTGTTTATGTACGTGGTACGACAACTTTGACACTCTTGGTAAGATCTGCCACACTACAAAATAATTAATTACCTAGGCAATGTTCAGTTTACCTATTTGTCAAGGCACTCAGATCTTGTGAAATAATCTACACAATTATCTGTACTATGGTATCTCTTATGCTATAAAAATAATATGTAAGGTATGCAAATTAATAAGGCAGGAGATATGAAAGTTACTAATTTAAGTAATTTGTGAAGGCCAGGCACGGTGGCTCACGCCTGTAATTCCAGCACTTTGGGAGGGAGGCAGGTGGAGGTTAGGACTTTTGAGACCAGCCTTACCAACATGGTGAAACCCCATCTCTACCAAAAATATAAAAATTAGCCAGGCATGGTGGCTCGTGCCTATAATCCCAGCTACTTGGGAGGCTGAGGCAGGAGAATCACTTGGACCCAGCCAGGAGAGGTTGTAGTGAGCCAAGATCACACCACTGCACTCCAGACTTGGCAACACAGTGAGACTCTGTCAAAAATAAATTAAATAAATAATTTGTTAAAATATGACACTACTTTTTGCATTATAACTATTTTAAATTGTTTAAGACATAAGTCAAAGGAGAAAAAGGTAATTTGAATATGATGAGAAATTAAATCTGAAGTGAGGTTATGCACTTAAAATATAGTAGCTTTGATCCATAAAGGTTACACACCGGGAACTTCTGTGTAAAAAAAAAAAATTGCACCAGCAGCTCCCATCTTACTGTAGGAGAGACAGACTCGCCAGTGGCAGGTTTCTTAACCCCAGAAGAAAACAGGGTAAGCGTGCCCTGACGCGATTATTTCAGCAGCGTGATGTGCACCCGACACGTGGGGAGACAGTGCGAAGCAGGCGCTACCGGAACCGCTAAGAAGAAATTTCAGAGCCCAGCATATTCCTTCTCAACAAAATACTTTCCCCAATACCTCAAAGAAATGCAATGTCCTTCTTCAGTATTGCAGATATCAAAATAACTGAAGTAAGTTTAAAGGGGTATCTTGGTCAAGGAAATGTATTAAAGTCTGAATACTTTAAAAATGAGCACTGAAAAGAGGTGTTTTGATTGCAGACATGGAAAAAGACAGCATCCCTGGTCAACCTTTTATAATTTGGTAACTGTTACTCAGGTAAAAGCACTATGAACAAAGTACAGCTACTTCATCATCAGTTCAAATGAATACTAAATATCAAATTTTATCTCTGTAGTAAAAATGTAATTCCCCGAAAATACACTTTATGGTTCCTTTCAAATTATCCTAAATTAGTTGCTACAGTCTAAGAATAATGAAACAAAATGAACAATCCATTTATTAAAGACTTGCTGAAACTTCTGATAGAACAAATGATATTTTTAAGAATTTTAAAAATAATAGAGCATTTCAGTACTCATTAATAATCATTTAAAATACACACACAATTTTGGCTTAAGTGTTCATTCAGTGAGTATATCTTAGATGTCAAGTGATCACTTTAATTAGAAGTCCCCAGAGAAGAAGGCCAATTTCAAGCCAAATGTTTGGCAATCTTAAGAGCTGTAAATGCTATAAAAGGATAATCTTACAGTTGCAATTGGTCCGTCCACATGATAATCGAGGCTGAAGACATCCCATCCAGTGTCACCTGGAGAGACCTAACAGAAACAAACACATCATTGCAAGGCACACAACTCAGAACTTGTTGACTCAAAGAAAAAGCAGTAAAACAATGCCCAATTGTTAAAAATTGCTCAACAGTTCTGAGTGCACCTTCTCGTTAACTTCTATAACCTCACCAATTAGACAATGATGAGCACACAGTAGGTGCTCTGCAAACATCTAGCAACAAATAGCGTATTTCTGAATGAAGATTGTGGATATGTGTTTAAAATTCATCACCATTTGCTTATGACAAAAACCCATTGCCTCTAAAAATGTTCCAAATCCTTAGCTATTCCAAGATGACTCTTTCGATATTTTAAGAAAACCAACAGGTTTTGCTAATGATCTTTCATCACAACTAAGCAAATAGTGGGTTTATGTTTAAAATACCCATACCCTTAAGAAAAGTCATATCCTACCAAAGTGAAACTAAAAACATCAATTTTCTGATAAATATCATTATATACCACGTCTTGTGCTCCTGTCAGATTTGCTATGAGAAGGAAGCACCATTTTCTAAGCATCTGCAATGTGCTACCAAGCACGGGGCAAGGGTGTCATGCATTTTCTCCAAGTTAAGCCCAGCAGCTCTGCAAGGCTCCCTGCTGCGAGATGAGCGCACAGAGACCCAGAGCGGAAGGGAGGAGCTGGCCATGCAGTAACAAGTGAGAGTGGAGTTCCTACTCAGGCTGCCCAGTTTCCAGAAAGATAATGACCAGCTGTGCCTTAAATAACATGGAAAAACCCGCTACAACACCCCAGCCCAGGGGTCCTCAGGGCTGGGGCAGCGTTCCCAACACACGGGGCCGCCATACCTCCAGCAGCCGCACATCCAGCCTTCGCAGGATCTCAGGACTGTCAAACTGTGCATTGGTGGCTCTGACCGCAGTTTCTAGAATCCCAGTCAGGTTATGCTGATATAAAGTCGTAGCTGGACGGACAAGTTCTGGTCTTAACAAATTTTTTAAAAATTAAAAAAATATTACTTTAATTCTTACTTAACTTTAAAAAAACGTATAAACTATAAAAATTACGAGTTCAAATCATAACAACTCAAAAGAAAAATGGGACCAATACAATAATGTGGCAAAGAAAGCCTCACAGCATTAGCTGCAAACAGGGCTTACCAATTATTGTGGAGTTACATTTCTTTACAATCTCAAAAATACTGGCCTGTAATCCCAGCACTTTTGGAGGCCGAGGTGGGTGGATCACCTGAGGTGAGGAGTTCAAGATCAGCCCGGCCAACACAGTGAAATCCCGTCTCTACTAAAAATACAAAAATTAGCCAGTTGTAGTGGTGCACACCTGTAATCCCAGCTACTCGGGAGGCTGAGGCAAGAGAATCACTCGAACCCAGGAGGCGGAGGTTGCAGTGAGCCAAGATCGCACCACTGCACTCCAGCCTGGGCGACAGAGCGAGACTCCATCTCAGAAAAAAAAAAAAAAAAAGATTTTGATTCAGCTTAAACTGGCAGTACTTAGATATGCTATGCTATACATGTTAACAAAGTTTTCAAACTTCAGGCTGGTCTATGAGTTACATGAGCTGATATCATTTCCTTTTAGAGCCAATGGTAGAAGGAGAGGTCTCCATCAAATCAAGGTATGTGGAGGTCATGATTACAAAGGGCCAAGAACCACTACACTTTCAGCAAGCATTTCTTGAGGGTTACCGATATCTGCTTTTATAACCAAGAAGCTAACATGTCTCATCAGGGGGTGACCAAGTTAAGAACATCACCAATCAACTCAGGTAGATGTGTAAATGCTATAAAATGCAGGGCAGAGACAGGTAAAAAAAGACACACAATGTCAAATAAACCTAAAAACTAGAAACCTGAAATACAACATTGAGGAGAAATGAATCTTTCAATTAATAGCAAGAATGCAACACTTTCAACTTTAAAATTGGGCACAAGGCTTATGCATTCAGCTGCTATATGATGTGACCTATGACACCACCAAGGTCCTAAACCTCATTTTGGTTTCTAATCTCCATCTGCGGCAACTGACCCACATACATACCCCAGACCGCCATGGCATCTAGAGACCATTTTCCCTTGAAAAACTCACCACCACTCATATTTTAAACAGGTGTTGACCTCATCACGACAAGTATTTATCATACACGAACCTTCTTACAGTGCAGAATACTGCTTCAGTGATTACAACCACAAACCTGTCAGCAGACATCAGCTACGACTAAGACGTGAGTGTGTCACAAGCCAGCTATGGCTGCGTATGCCTCAAAAGGCCACATCAGTTTTCACACGGAAGAGTGGCTTCTGGCGAGAAGACAGGATGAGAGCTCTTGCATGCCTCAAACAGTGGTTCTCAACGTGGAGCCCCACTCAAGCAGCATCACCAGCAGCTGGGAACTTGCTGGAACTGCAAATCCTTGAGATCTACTCCACACCCGAGAACCTCATTCTCTGGAAGTGGGCCCACAAGCTACTGCAGCGAGCTTTCTAGTCTGGAATACACTAACACTTGAAGACCTGAGGCCTCAAACAATTAAGGTAAGTTATTATTTTGTATCTTAAAGGGAACATTTAGCTTACTTTAAGTGTCCTAAAAGGAACACCAAAAGAGAAGAAGTTTCATTCTTATAAACACGTGAGTGAAAACCTCCAGGCCCATGCTGTGGCCCTGCTGGGGGACTCATGCCTGGCTCACCCCGCCTAGGCAGGGTCTGCACTATCCCCTCGGGTCTGCGCTGTCTCTAGACCCAGGAGCACAGCAGGCTCCGGTCCAGAACTGCCTCTGTGTCTACTGGTGGAGAAGAACATACATTTAATTCTGAAAGGGAAGACACCATGAGAAACGTCAGGGAACAAAATGAAAAGAGCAGAAATTTTGTTTTTATGTGAAACATTAACTACAAATATGAAAGTAAAATTCAATTTTAAAATATATTTTATTTTTCAGATTTATTTCAAACTCAAGCTAAAGTTAATTGTGATTCGATCAACTCCTCACACGTAAAGACTGTTTAAGCGCCACAGTTTTGGTAAGAAAAACCAGTTTCTCTTCTGAATAAAGCACAGAACATAACAATGTTGCTCTACTGATAACCAGAGCAAAAATAAAGGGACTTTAACTTTTGAAAATTTTACATTCTTTTCCGATTTTATTCAAAAAATGTGCTCTGTAAGAATTCAACTCATTTTCCTTTAATATCATTTATTCTTTTAAACACAAGATTCTTTATGTCAAATATATTACTTAAAGAAATCAAAATAGTGTCTTACTTCAGCAAATCCATTAAGTGCCTTATGAAGTCTCCTTGACCAAGAAGCAGGTACCGCCTCATTGCCTGCATGTGGTCCAGCAAGCTATACTTTTTATTGAGAACATCCAGTAGGTATTTGCTGGTCTCAAAATAAGCAGCATCAATCTTCCCCTGAAATGCATTTTCTAAGTCTGTGAATAAGTCTGCAGCTGGAAAGAACAGGGGAAAGCACACATGCATCCGTAACTTGTATTTTCACAGAGGAGAATGAAGGCACACGCATCCGGGACTCAGGGCCAAGCACTGTCTGTGGCATCAGTAACAGACTGACCCCAGGCACAGGCAGCTGGACGCTCCAGAGGAGACCAGAGCCCTGAGACCACAACGATGAAAACGCTTCTGCCAGCTGAGTTCACAGCAGACACCTACATTTGTGTCTTCATGATTTCCAACTCCCTTTCTACACTGTAACTAACCTGAAATCTCACCAAAACACACTGGTGATAGGGCAAGTGGGTACTGAGTCACCTGTCCACATCCATAAGACGTTTCCATAAGTTAGTCTTAAGATGAAAGCAGCACATGCAAATAAGCTTGATGAAGTGTACAACTCGCAAAAGTTGAGAAGCATTATCACGCATCACAGAGTGAACTCTAGGGAGACTGCTGGAGACGTCTAGGGGACAAAACCAGATTGTCACCAAGAAAGACGCCTGACTCTAAGCAGTAACACAGGGGGAAAAAAGCACTTCCATAGCTTTCTACTGAAAAGAAATATAGTCTTCATGTGGAGACTACACACACAATAGAGCTGCTTTTAGTGCTGATTTACATCTGCAGAGCACAGAGCTGTTTTTAAAACTTATCTCAATACTTGACTTCATTAAACCCACAATCATACTTGAGCCAGAAAATAACCCCAGTGGGAGGAACCACCTCAGACTGAGAGAGGGCAAAACGCCAGCTAGAGACTAAGCAAGAACAAGGCGAGATCTTCTGATTCGGAGTTTAAGTCTCTTTCCCCTATCTGAGTTACCCAGCTGGAGTATATCAGAAGACTTTTAAGATTTGTTTGTCCTTCAGAATAAGAAAGCAGGTAAGACAGGCCTATCTTAGTGTTATTATTCCAATTACATACTGGTAGTAAAAAAACTAAAATGCTCCCAGTGAAGAACATGCAGTTATCTGAGGATGAGTGAGGTCTGCCTGGAGAAATGACACCACGAAGTCCCTTGATGAGCTCACCATGGTCCTGTTTTAAGGGTATGGGGATCTATTATTGTTGACTTGCACAATTTTAATGACAAAGATTGTTCTCTAGAAATGTTTTCATCACACCCTTGTTGAGTCATTAAAAATTTTCATTCCATGGCTCAATCCTGTAATCCCAGCACTTTGGGAGGCCAAGGAAGGTAGATCACCTGAGGTCAGGAGTTCGAGACCAGCCTGATCAACATGAAGAAACCCCATCTCTACTAAAAAAAAAAAAATAGCGGGGTGTGGTGGCGCATGCCTGTAATCCCAGCTACTCAGGAAGCTGAGGCAGAATCCCTTGAACCCAGGAAGTGGAGGTTGTAATGAGCCAAGATTGTACCATTGCACTCTAGCCTGGGCAACAAGAGTGTCTTGGGGGGAAATATAAGAAAATTCATTCCAAAGAGAAGGTTTGAGTCAGTCTTAACCAGCCTTAGCCCAAAGCAGCCTATGAAGACACAGAGCGCGGAGCCTCCTCGGTACACTCTTTGCTTTTCAGGGTTGAGGCATCTCTCCTGTGCTCCAGTTTTTAAATTTTCGCTCTTTATTCTTTTTTCACATTTTTAAATCTTCATAACCTTTTCACAGACAAAGATGAATTTGATGTGTTCTGTTGTTTTTTGATCTTATTGGGAGTTTTTAGGATTTGTATCTTCTATCTTCCCAGTTGTACTATAAACTCAACAGCAGAAACTTGGCTCTCCACAGACCCTGGCAGCTGTGGACAGGACAAGGGTGACAGCAGGAGTCATCACAGAGAAGCAGCAGCAGCAGCAGGAACAGCACCCCGTCGCCCTCAGCGTCTGCAGGGGACCAATCCCACCACCCCCACAGACACTGAAATCCCCCGATGCTCAAGTCCCTTATATAAAACGGAGCAATATTTGCACCTAACCTACACACATCCTCCCATACCGGTTAAAGCATCTCTGAATTACTTATAATATCTAGCACACTGTGCGTGCTATATAAGTAGCTGTTATACTGTATTTTTATTTGTATTTTGTAATAGTTGCGCTGGTTTAAGTTGTTTTGATCTCAGTTGACTGAGTCTGCAGACGTGGGGCGGTGGGTATGGGGTCGCCGGCAGCAGGGCAGCAGCAACTTGCACAGCGAGCCTCCACCAAGGCAGGCGCAGGGGGACACCCTGTCCCAGGCACAGCCCGTCACAGCCATGTGTGCGCCGTCTTCTCTGGTAACTATGAAAGGTCATGACTCCAACTCAACTGCTCTCCAGGTTCTTTTCCTTCCACCTCTTCAGCGTAGAACCATTTCTGCAAAATCTGTATTGGATCACATTTATCTCTATTCCAGGAGCTAACTCGAGGTCTATGGACCGCCCGCCACCCAAAAATACATGTAAAATTGTGTGTGAATGCTTTAGGGTGAGAGGGGCTGTGGCTCTCACATGCCTGGAAAGGGTATCTGCCCTGGACCACGAGGGAGCTCTTGCTACAGCATCCAGCCTTGTCCTGAGTTACCATGGTGAGATAAGCACTTCCAAAATCTCTATATTCGGCCCTGACTTCTAACCAGGGTTTCCATATAGCATTTCCAATACATGCTAGAAGCCTCTATTTAGTAAGTCCTCTCAGCTGCTGAAAACCAAATTGCCCTAAATGACACTCCTCTCTCAGTGCTATCTTCTTCCCAAATTCCCTGCTGCCCTCCTGACTTGGCCTTGTGAGCTCAGTTCTACTGCCATGACTGACTTCCTGATCCCCAGCCCTCCTGTCCAGAGAGCCACGTCCTGTCAGAGAACGTCTGTCCTTCCAGTAACATCCGCAACCAAAATCACACCCAGTAACCTATCTTACTTCCTCGCGAGGTCCTTGTCTGTCTCTCTCTTCAGTCTGTCACATTAGTAAGTAATAACAACTTACACCTTTTTTCTTTATTTTCACTATAATCTTTAGACAAGTCTAACTGGCACTATTTCTCATCTGCACTATCACACATGTTATTCCTTTGTCCTGGGCTGCACCAACCCACAACCAAATTCTCCTCCTCCTCCCAGAGCCAGTGCAATTCCTGCCCCTTTCCAGACCCTTCCAGTTGAGCCTTGTCTGAACATACCCAAAGCACTTTACCTGCACATCCTACCTCCCTGATCACTTTCTACCTTTATTACTGACATTGGTTATTTTATTACACATCTCCTTCTCCATGACCAGATTGGTAAGCTCATGAAAGGAACAGTCACAGTGAAGTCATCATCTCTTTCCTGTAGCTACCTCAATGTCCTATGCAAAATAAACATTTTGAGTGAACCATGACAATATAAATAGCAAATACAGCCAAAACTGGAGAGCTATAAACATAAATTAGCCATAGACAAAATATCATGAAATTACTGGGGGTGAGGCAGGCAGCAAATAGGGAAAAGGAAGAGAGGGAGAGCCTCAGTGCTTCACGCAGACTGAACACTCGCGTGGCACTATGAATGCAATAAACACTTGCTAAGTCCTGGCTCTTCTCCACACAAAGTCTTTGCATCCCAAAGCATGGGTACCGATAGCAATATTTTTTCTGTTAGTTTCTTATTTTCACACACTGTCGCTTTATCGTTTTAAAAGTAACACAAATTAGTAAGAAAGACAAAACAGCAATACCTGTTCACATACTTTCTGTTTAACTCTGCATAAAAAGGAAATTAAAAATTTACACAGTACTATATATACAAACACATAATACTATACAGGTATTGATCGACTTACCACCTATGCAACTTACGACCATTCGACTTTACGACCACAATCGCTACCCACGACTGCTCCGCGTCTGGCAGCACAAATATTGCCCAGCTGGGCATACGACAGTGCGGACCAGCTTCCGGCAGCACTACCAACTCCGCGTGCACCATTTCAACTGTACATATAGCCTACTCAACTTACGACCAAATCGTGTTACGACCGGTCTGCGGTCCCGACCATGGTCATAAGTCAAGCACTAGCTGTATATTAAGGTATTTTACAGAGTAATTCCAATAATCATAAGGTACAAAAAATACTTTTAAGTAATCTATAACATCAGCATGTCATCACCATTACCTCCACTATTGTCACCACTATCACCACCATCATCTCTATCACCATCACCATCACAATGATCACTGTCATTACTATCATCACATCACCATCAACAGCACCACCATCACTACCACCACCACGCCACCATCATCGCCATCCTTACCACCCACCCCAACATCGTTATCACTATCATGACCACCATCTTTACCATCACCACACCACCACCACCATCACTACCACCACCACGCCATCATCATCGCCATCCTCACCACCCACCCCAACGTCATTATCACCACCATCATAACCACCATCTTCCCCATCACCACACCACCACCACCATCACTACCACCACCACGCCATCATCATCGCCATCCTCACCACCCACCCCAACGTCATTATCACCACCATCATAACCACCATCTTCCCCATCACCACACCACCACCACCATCACTACCACCACCACGCCATCATCATCGCCATCCTCACCACCCACCCCAACGTCATTATCACCACCATCATAACCACCATCTTCCCCATCACCACACCACCACCACCATCACTACCACCACGCCATCCTCACCATCCCCAACATCATTACCACTCTCAGCACATCACCATCATCACATCATCAGCAACACTGCTACCATGAGTCTCACCATCCTCACATCATCATCATCATCACCACCGCCGCCGCCAGCAGCAGCAACATACCGTCCTGGGGTGACTCTGCAGACTTGGTCACAGCTATCATCTTTGTAGTGGGAGTCTGATCATGACAAACCTGGTGCAAGAAATTTATTGATTTTCCTATCAAAAGGACCTAAAAAGAAAAACATCCTATGATTACCTTTATGTACATTTAAAATGACTGCCCAAATACTACAAATATTCATAAGCTACAAATTGGCTATTGATTAAAAACTAACAAGAGCATCTGCTACAGTACTGAGCGAACTCTAGTAACTCAAAGATACATTGAACAGCTACTATGTTGATGTATTCAACTAACATGCACTTCATCTCAAGAACATTAACAACCTCAAAACAGAAGTTTTATTTAACTGAAAATTGGTTTTGTCACATAATCCAAGTATACATAGCCATAAAACATCAAAATCACAAAAATCTTTTCTAATCCTACCTTCCTAGACTGATCCATCGTAATAAATGAAGGAATCATCGATTTCCTCAAAGTATACTTGTCATGCCACAGTCGATCTGTTTTAACTGTTGGATCTGATGCTACAAAAAACTGAAAGCAAAGGGGCATTGAAACATTAAAAAGTGATATTACGGCAAAATATTAACCAACAGCAACATCAAAGAATAAGTTATTCTAGAAAGCCAAGTTCTCTGGACACAGGGAGTCTTGCCCACTTATACAATAAAACTTGTATGAAACACAGAAATCTCTCTAAATTGAACCATGTATTTCCCAGACTTTTAAAACTAAAGTATAACAAAACAAGTTATGTTTTCCTTGGAGACTCAGCATGCCCATGAGAGCCTCTGCAGCACAGCACTGAGGACCCAAGTCTGAGCCCTCTGAGCTGCACAGAGCTCTTCCTCAGTGACAGTGCAGGCTTTCAGAGTTCCCTACCTCACAGGCAGCAGCTGTGTCTCTTCTCATCACTCTGCCTGCCCTTGCAGTCTCTCTTCTACAGAGCCCCAAAGCCTGGAACACAGAGGTGCCCAGGCTGGTGCCCTCTGTTCACAGAGAAGTCCCAAGCTCTATGGGCAGAACTTGCTGTACATGTACCCACATGTACAAGGGGCCAGCACCAGCCAGGTGGCACTGTAGAAGTGACCCTGCTGTGTGGCTCCTCCAGGAACCACCGTGCTCAGGAGCATTCTTCCTCATTGGCACACAGTTCCCCTGCACTGACCCTGACGGGCACACTGCCATCAGAAAGGACACTGAACAATGTGGAGGAAATTCAACTGCTGTTGCTTCCAGTTTATTTGCCACTACAACAATAAGGCCATTTTCATTTTTTCAGTCATATACCCTAACAGACTTCAGCTTTTATTTCTATAAACTTGTTTTATAAAAGCACAACTGCTGAACTGAAGTAACTTTTAATTTTTACAGACAATGCCAGGTTTCCTTTTTACACAGCTACGTAGACTGACACTCTCACGGACAGGATGTCCTGTTTTTGCATCCTTGCTTATTTTAGATTTCGCCAGTTAGGTGGAACCATGGTTATCCTACATTGCTGTCATTAACCAAAAATGAAGCCAAGCGTATTTTCATAGTTCTAACTGCCATTTGCTTTTCTTCTCCTGCGAATGGTCTTTTCATGCCCTTGACCCATCTTTCTATTCATTTTGTCTTCTCATTAATATACATTCTTTGTACATTAGGGATAGTGACCATTTGTGAATCATTAAATATTAGGAATTTAGTTTTTCCAAGTTAATCATTTGCCACTGTCTGTAGTATGGTCCAGATTTTGTTCTGATCTCTTTCTATTGTACGCAGATAAACACCTGTCTTCCTTTATGGTTTCTGAGTTTCCTGTCTTCCTAAGAGCTTCCCACTCCTAGATGATGAGAATGTTCTCCATCATGTTCTTTCAGTATCTCTATTGAGTTATTTTTATTACCTAGATTTTCTTTTCTTTTTGAGACTGGGTTTCTCTCTGTCACGCAGGCTGAAGTGCACTGGCAAGATCGTGGCTCACTGCAACGTCTGCCTCCCCAGCTCAAGCCATCCTCCCACCTCAGCCTCCCAAGTAGCTGGGTCCACAGGAGCACACCACCATGCCTGGCTAATTTTTTGTATTTTTTGGTAGAGACAGGGTTTCACCATATTGCCCAGGGTGGTCTCGATCTCCTGAACTCAAGCTATCTGCCTGCCTCAGGCTCCCAAGGTACTGGGGATTACAGGCAGGAGCCACCATACCCGGCCTATTACCTAGATCTTTAATTCCTCTGAAACGCAGCATAATCCTGGCACACAGTACACTGTAAGGGGGAAGACTATGTTTTCTCCTGGATGGCATTTTATTCTCTACTGGCCGGGCCAGCCCTGTTTATTGAAAACACCATCCTTTCCTCTAAGCATGCCTCATTAGGAATTGTTAATATCACCATAATTGATTATATCAGCAGATTAAAAGAGAAAATCATTTGACTACACCAAAAAATGCTGAGGAGGCATCTGATAATGCCTCTATTTACCTTCTCCAGTGGTGACCAATTCGACTTTTATTATCATGAGAGCGTGGATTTACGCGTACCCAGTGCTTCCCTCATCACAGTTATGCTCTTCCTAGAGCTCCCCATCTCCTATGTGGGGAGGGAAGCCTCTTCAAAGCGCTCCAGAGTCCTTCACATTGGACACAAGTGGTCTGCCCTGCTTTCTGCTATAGAAGGTGCTCCAGGCTTAGCTTTGTTTCTCCCAAGACCCAGAATCAGCCACTTCTCAAAGGAGCCCTACTGCCTTTGAGAGAGAAATAGCACTGGGACCATGACCTCAGCACTTGGCCGTATTTTCAATTAAAAGCTGGAAGGCCTAAGACCCAGCACTGCCCTGTGATGCATGGCAGCTGAGTTCTCCAGTGAGACTGTAAAATACATTTCAGTCGTATCACACCCAAAGTGCCTTTTTGGTGATCTTTCCATAAATCCCAAATATTTTTTTAGATTACGTAGCAATACAAAATGAATGATTCCTTAGCAAAATGTAATGATCAAAACTAACCCAAGAAGCAAAAGAGAGGAGACCCTGAAATGCAGTATCTTCAGAATAAACTGGAAATACATAATGCTATCACTAAGGCACAGGGCTACTAACATTTCTTAAGACATAATTCTTAGGTGGCTTACAGTATATTCCAGGCCACAGAAACATATATAGGATGCCCTCAGTTGATTTTATGAAACTGGCATAACACTAGCACATGTGATTAGAAAAATACCAAAAATATTACAGGACAGTCTCATTTGCGAACATGAATAAACTCTGAATAAAATGTTATACTTGCATTATTGGAATAAAATATTCTTCATAAGCATATATTATACTTCCAATACGTTATACTAAATGTCTTAAAAACAAGAGAATATTGAAATGAATTATAAAATATTACCATGTCGTCATTAAAAACAGATTGTTCTTAACTGCCACAGACCCTTCCAATAATCTGATGAAACGTGCACGTCTTTCAGGAAAAAAAATCACATGTACAGCTGACCCTTGAATCACGCCAGTTTGAACTGTGTGAGCCTACTTATAAGTGGATGTTTTCAAACCAAGAGCACACGCGGAAACATGGCATCCTTGCGGTGTGAAACTCACTCATATGGAAGACCAGCTCTCCCAACACACAGGTTCCACAAGGCCGACTGCAGGACATGAGGACATGTGGACTTTGGTATCCACAGGGCTCCTAGCACCAATTCCCCTCGCAGACCACAGAACAATTATATTCACAAAATAGAGTTTCAGAGATCATTTTAATAAGCCTTGGTGTCAAAGAAAAATATTTAATGGCATAAAATAATGTTCATTATTTGCTTCAACCAAATAAGGTGACAAAATACTGTGCATAATACGATCCACACAAATACACCAGAAAAAAATCGGCATATACAAATATTAAGAGGATGTGTCTGGTTTGTAGGTTACTAAAGAAGTTTAACTTTATCCTCTGTATGTGCTTATGTGATCAACGTTGTTTAAACTGCAAATATTTTTCTATTAGAAAAAAATACTGTTTAATAAAAGAATCAAGTAATGAACACATGTTACCAGTAAATTGTTGCTGTTGTTTTAAATAACATCATTTTCCCAGGGCAACCAAGTAAAAACAATTTTTTTCTTTCACAGAAATCTACTGCCAATAGTAAGCATTAAGGGAAACAAAATTTTAATGATGTCAAGATCTTATATTTGATCCTTTTAAGGGCTAGAAAGTATCAATTATGTACAGCCAATCTCCTTCATAAGTAGGCACATGAATAAATGTCAACATTTTTATGACCATAGGGAAGAGACTGCTACATTTATTTTTAACTAAAATGTCTTAACCTTAAGTATCCATTTAAATGACTAAAGCATTCACTGATCTATTTTAGACTTTTTTGACCTATACTACCTTTGAGGGATAAACAGCAGTACTATCATGGAGCCGTGCTCACTTTAACATATACAGAAGTTGTGCATGATAGAAATAAGCCCCCATGAGTAATCTCAACAGCGACTAAGTCACCGTGCTCATGCTGGAACTGTTCTGTAGCTCACCATATTACAGATTAGATTAATTGCACATAAATTGTAAGTCTGTTATTCAGTTAGACAGAAGAGCTTGTTTCTACAGACAACACACTAATTTATCCTAATAGCTGGAGTACAGCCGGATTTTTATCAGTATGAACAATACAGAAAATTTAAACCATAAAAAACCTCAGACAATTCAGACATCTTTGGAAGTCAGGAAAGCACTGCTTCATCTAAGGGCGAAGCCGCACGCAATCATTCCAGCGGCAAACATCTCAGCAAACAGAGAGCTTGGGTATGCTTTAGAATATAATTAATTCTGTGAAAAATATATAGTTATAGAGAGAAAAAACCAAGGTCAGAATATAATTACGACATGCTTTTATTTTACTGAGGCAGTTTCCACTCAAGGTTCTTTAATTTTCACCATTATGTCAAACGCAGAAAGAATTAAGAAAAAAAAATAAAACATAATTGTACCATGATTTCTCATTAATTGTTGGACAAATGCCAAGGCCTCCCTACTAAAAACAGAAATGAAGAGGGCAATTTTCTTAGCAAGCAACTTCTAAGAATCAGATCCATTAATACAGACCACAAAAAAACTCCAACTTCAACTTGCCAATCATGCAGGCAGCTAACGAGAGATTTCTGCTAAGGCCACACTTAGAAAAAATAAAATGGCAACTGGACCAGGGGAATGAGTGAATTGGTCAGATTCTCTGTACGACAAAGGATGATTTACAAGGTAAACTTACAATTACAATATTTCAAGAGGTATGGCATAAAAATTCCAAAACAGTAAGATATTTATACGGTAACCTTTTATAGTTCAGTAATGCAGCAAGAGTGCTAAAAAGATCCAGAGATACTCTGTATTAGCCATACTTTGAGGGTCTTCAAATTCAAGGATGTAGAGTTTTAGAATATTATCACAGGATTTAAGGAAACATTTAAATCACATCCGCAAATCTAATTTTGAAAACAAGAGAGTTTAATTTTAACTTGGCCTGTCTTTTCTTGCT